TGGGAGAAGTGGCTGATCTGGCATACCTAAGTGTCATGATGTGAGACGAGGCCAGGCAGTATTTCACAGGATATTTGAGGAATAATTACTATGTTTGTACGGCAAATCATGCAGGTTTTGGTGTTTTGTTGTCATTAGCGTCAATAATGATTGCCTAATCTAAAAATATCTCGCTGTTGGATTCTGTTTCTGTAAAAAAAAGGAAACTAAGTGTGTTTAAATTCTTAGAACAAAGCATCACTTAACACCACACATTGAAACATGTGGTACAATTTGGAAATCAAATGTTTTTTTACTGCCTGGAACTGTTTCCTGTATATATTTTTTTTAACTTTTTCATTAAATGAAGTCCTGATGTGATCCAAAGAAATACTAAATTGACAAGTCTGATACGATTCGACTATGAGAGAACATTTTTCACACTTTAAGTGCTTCAACAGACAATTTAATACAAGTATCTGGAATGTACTACCAATAGCAAAGACAATTCAAATTCAAAAATACATCTTTAATCCCAGAGGGAAACTAAATGTTGTAACTCATCATCCTGGTTTCATTAAAGAGTTATTATAGATGCTGATGGCTGTGGACAGGAAGGATCTCTTGTCTGTCTTGCAGCAGATCTGAAGAAGCATCTGACTGAAGACACTCTGCTGTTGTATGACAGTCTGATGAAGAGGATGCTGAGGGTTGTCTATAATGTTCTTCATTTCACGAAGAATCCTTCTTTGTACAAACAATCATCTCCAAAGGTTCTTGAGGAGTCCACAGATCCTTCTTTACAAGCTTGTTGTTTTATTTTTTGAATCAGAATCAGAATAAGCTTTATTATCATTGCTTTGGGACAGAGTGACATTATGTTCGCACAGTCGTCCAAAAGATGGGCGGAGTGCACGTTGCTGCTGCTATCAAAGAGCGGCCTCTTATTCTTTATCAGAATACTTTTAGATAGAAAAGGGGAAAAGGCCATGAGGGTGGATAATGGTATTACAAGAAAGATCACTTCACATCTTGTCCTGTCAGGACATGATTGGAGACATCAAAAAACTTTACCAGAAAGCACATTTATAAACCCATCTCGCATGCATTTGACGTCAATACAGTGAGATTGTCCAGGAGCACATTCATAGTCCTGAAAAGATGTTGGTCATCCAGGAGAAATTTGATAGTCGGCTCGTATCCGAGGACAAACGGGGGAGTCGGATTCAGATAAGCCACAATTGTTGAATTTCTTCAGGCAGACTGTTTTTCTTGTCAGCCTTGAGTCCTGATGGAAGTTCCTCGGTCCAAAGTGTCCAGATTTATGGGTATTCCTCTCCACTGATCTGCGTTATGAGCCTCCCCAAGGTTGAGCCCATATGTTGAGTCCTAAAGCCGCAGGTGGCCTACGATTATCACAAATCGTCTCCATCTTATGGTTTAGCTAGTGATCAGCTGATTTTGAGTCACTTGATCAGGTGCTGCTACTCCAGCAGATGATGGCAGAAGAGATAACACGCTCTACACCAGACTTGTAGAAGATGCAGCATCTTGCTTCAAACACTGAAGGACTTCAGCTTCCTCAAGAAGTACAGTCTGCTCTGTCCCTTCTTGTAGACGGCATCACTGTTGCATTTCCAGTCCAGTCTGTTGTCCAGGTGAACCCCAAGGTATTTATACTTCTCCACCACCTCCACTTCTTCTCCCATGATGGAAATAGGGTTGGACCTGTTCCTGATTCTCCTGAAATCTACAATCATCTCCTTTGTTTTCTTCACATTCAAGACAAGATAATTGTTTCCACACCGTGTCACAAAGCGGTCCACCAGTTCCCTGTACTCAGCTTCTTGTCCATCTCTGGTACACCCGACCACTGCAGAGTCATCTGAATATTTCTGCAGATGACAGGAGTCTGTTTTGTGCTGGAAATCTGAGGTGTACAAAGTGAAAAGGAATGGTGAGAGTACAGTCCCCTGTGGTGCTCCTGAGCTACTGACCACCTGGTTAGACACACAACCCTTCAGTCTCATAAACTGTCTGTTTGTTTGTAATAAAAAGCATTACTAAGGATGTTTTTTTTGGAATAAATGTGTTTCATATAAATACACAAATTCTGACAAACAAGCTTTGTTGTATACAAAATGTTAAAACCTATTTGAAAACAAAAATTACACGAGCAATGCAAGTGTGCTCTATATTTGGCACTAAACTAAATAAAGTGGTATTTGGATGTGAGGAATGGCTGTCCATTTAATAAACATCCTGGTTTCTGTCCTCTTCCCCACCGACTCGTTTGAAGCAGTCATGACCAAAGTGGTTCAAAAATCAAGGCTCGTGCTCAATAATCCAGGTAGAAAAATCCAATAAATTAACGATATTGATATTTTGCACTACTTTGGTCATATACCTCAGAGTCGACTGGGAGAAGGCAGACTACAGAAGCCATCTGAGCACCATCAAACTGGTTGACCCACTATGGGAAGGTGCTATTTATAAGACTGAGTTTGTTATGGCTCCTCAGACTGATGAAGTCTTTTGGATGAATGACGAAACGTTTCAACAAAAAGAAACCGTCCAGAGCTTAATTGGATTTTTCTACCTGGATTATTGCGCATGAACTCTGATACAAAATTGATTTAGTTTGAAAAATTTTTTTTGCATCCATCTATCCAGAGGGATATGTTCTGGGTTTCATCCAGGACCTTCACAACCCAAGGTATTGAAGGAAACCCAGATGCTCTCCAGCTCCTCCTGGAGGAGCCCAAAGCATTTTTAAATCAAAAAGCAGCATCACCAGCAAATTGAGTCTGCTCAACGTTCTCTTCCCACTGGGATGTGCTCCCCAAAAAACTCCAGAAATAGGAAGCCAGGAGGCATTTTTCTTCTGGACCTGAACCAACTCAGCTGACCCTTTTTGGATCTGCAGGAGCAGATCTTCTCTGAGCTCCATCTGGGTGACTGAGCTCCTCACACACTAAGCCCATCCCTACGAAGCCTGTTGCAAGACATTTGTGGCAGGTTCTCATTTTTTCTGTCACAATGTCTCATGAACATAGGTCCTTATTCACCACAACAGACTGAAGCAACACCCGCAACATTGCAAACAAGGTTCCGATCTGATGGCTCAGCTCCCGTTCCATCCTATCACTCGTAAACAAGAAAAAGCCAAGATGCTTCAACTCCTCCAGGTATCCTCGAGCCAAATTGAGCATTAAAGAGCCAGTTTGAATATAAGGCAGAGCATTTTAATATATTGTCACTAAAGAGTTAGATAATCAAAAAGATAAATGCTTAACAGAGATCAGTGGTGTCACTTAAATGCTAATCACAAAAATACCATATTTTTTTTATCTATAAGGCACATCGAATATTAATAATAATAATAATAATATCATCACTGTATGTTTCCATACAATGGAAGATTATAAGGCTCACTGTTGATTTTTAAAGAAAATTAAAGTATATTAATTGCGCCTTATATTCTGAAAAATACGGTAAGTCATTTTAGATTGGTTGTACAAATATTCAGGTAGAATAAAATTTGGTGCGGCTGTAGCTGAGGGACATTCTCCCACAAGATCTTTGCTTTAAAGTACAAGTTGACAAGCAAACACACAAATGGCTACATCTTGGACGAATGTACAGATATCGAGCTAAAATCCGACGTGGTAGTAGCTGAGAGTCATTCCCGACACATACTTAGACATCCCACAGCGTGAATGCCTTTAGATTTGATCATGTGACACAAAATGGTTTAAAACTCTGCAATAAAAGGTGGCAGGTGATGGAGACCCCTTCAAAGAATCTTAGGTGTTTAATATTTAATTAGATTTGATAGCAAAAGTCAGCTGGAGCAAATGGAGTCATCACAGTTAAATACAGAATCATCTTATATGTTCGTGTTGCCAATAATTAGCTTCCATCGTTTGTCATCTGTTTTGGTCCAGCTCAGCCTATAATGCATTAGGAAAAGTATATTTCAGAACGGTGTTTCGGGAGGGAGGACCACGTGAAGTGACGCGGGAGCTTCCTGAACGAGGAGCTCCTGAAGGCAGCATCTGTGTAGCGGCGGGCAGAGGGAAGAGACGCGCGAGCTGGAGACGAGAGGATGCACCTCTCATCCGAGCTCTGACCAAACAACTGCAATCTTTAAAATCTGTTTTTTTTTATTTTAATTTTATTTTTATTTTTATTTGTCTTGGTGGCACACCAGGGAGAACTGAAGGACTGTTTTAACTTAAAGCTCCGTTTGGGTAAAGGAGGGTGATAAAAAAAAAAAAAAAAAAGAAGATTTTTGCGATTTGAAGAGAAGTCAGATGGACGAGAGGGGATGAATTCCTCTTATTGCGGAGGGGGGCGAAGACTTTTCCTCCCAGTTTGTGAGCGGAGGGACAAAGAGGAGGATATCTTAGAATAAAAGCTGAAAGGATTTGTTTTTATTTCATTTTCAAAACGGGCACTTCGGAGGGGGCTGTTTCAGGATGAAGATGGGATGCAGACGGAGGGAGGAAGTGTGGATTTAAAGCTCTCCTTTCCTGCTTCATCACTTTTTTGGGGGGGATGGAACTCAAGAGAACACAGAGATATTGACGACAATCATCGCCAGCAGAGACAACCTGTACCCCCTTTGCTCACCAACACACACACGCACGCACACACACACACACACATACACACACCTCTGCGTCTTTGCCTCTCTGGATGTTCACTGAATCCATCTCGGATGTAAGGATTTTATCTTAGAAGGTGCAAAGAACCCGTCTGCCTTCTTTCTCTCTCTTTCTCTCCCCCTCTCTCTCTTTCTCTCTCTCGACCCCCCCCCCCCCCCCCCCCCCCCCCGCCTCCCTTTCCCCCCCCCCCCGCCCCCCCCCAC